ACAGTTCTTTCGGTTTTTATTTAGCAGGAAGGAAGAGTGTTGTGGTTTTCAGTGGTCAGTCATCTCAGCTGCAGGACATCTCTGCAGCACTTCCCAGGGCAGAGTCCTAGACCCAACCATCTTCAGCTGCTTTATCAATGGCCTTTCCTCCATTGTAAGGTCAGAAGTGGAGACGTTTACTGATAACTGCACAATGTTCAGTAACATTCGCATCTCCTCAGGTATTAAAGCAGTCGATGTTCAAACATCCTTGTTTGGGCTGACAAATGGCAAGTAACACTCATGCCACACTAGTGCCAGGGAATGAACACCTCCAACAAGACAGAATCTAACCTTTGCTTCTTGAACTCTCAATGACATGCCCATTGCTGAATCCCCACTATCAATATCCTGAGGGGGTGCTTACTACTGACCAGAAAATGAACTGGACTAACCATACAGGTACTATGGCGATAACAGCAGGTCAGAGCCTAAGAATCCTGCAGCAAATAACTCATCTCCTGACTCCTCAGAGCCTGTCCACAAGTTATGAATGTGATGGAACACTTGCTTGGATGAAGGCAGCTCCAACAACATTCAAGAAGCTTGACACCATCCAGGACAAAGCATCCCACTTGATTGGCACTACATCCATTAATGTCCACTCCCTCCACCACTGTAAAAAGGTAAAGTTGCCATTGTGCCGGAGGACCACAGGGTTGGTTAACCTTGGATCACCACATGAGGTGGAGGAGGTGGGACAGTCATGGTAATCTTGGCTACAGCGGGAATTGAACCTATGCTGTTGGCATCACTCTGCATCACAAACAAACCATCCAGCCAACTGAGCTAACGGAGCCCTCCCAATGCTCAGTAGCAGCTGTGGGCTCTATCCACAAGTTGCACTACAAAAATTCACCAGGCCTCCTTAGACAGCACCTCCCAAACACACAACCACCATCATCTCAAAAAGACAGAGGCAGCAGATAAATGCAAATTCCCCTTCAAGCCACTCACCATTCTGACTTGGAAATATATCGCTGTTCCTTCAGCGTCACTGGGTCAAAATCCTGGAACTCCCTCCCTAAAGGCATTGTAGGTCTACCTACAAAGACAAAAGGCTACAACGGTTCAAGAAGGCAGCTCACCATCGCCTTAAGAGCAACCAGGGATGGGCCACAAATTCTGCCCAGTCAGCAAAGCCGACACCCCAGGAATAAATTTTGAATAAAACCTCCTGGATAGGTGGAAACATCCCTACGTTGACCCTACTGAACCCCTACAGCCTGGCTTCCATCATATCTTCTCTATTCTAGAAAGAAAGAGCCCCACACTGTCAAATTTCAATTCAAAGTCATTCAGATCCAAACCACAACTTGTAAGCGCAATGAAGTTGGGCCCACGGGAAAAAAGAATGTGACTTACTTTCCACATGCCTCTGCTCGCTGACAACATTCTCATCTTTCTGGACACTCAGTGTGGCGCACACAGCTTCGTGGTCGGAGTACGGCATGTTTCTCCCAGGTGGCGTACCATTTGTGGTCATCAGATGCTCACACTTCACAGAGAAACCTCTCGACCCCTAGGATTTCCCAAACATATCAATGAATTGTTCCTCTGTCTCCTGTTTCCAAACTCATGCCTCCACTTTTGAGTCTCACACAACACTCAGTCCCTCACCTTGTAGAGGACGTAGTCAATACGGATTCCTGAGGGGAATGATTGAGTGTCACCAACTGAGGCAAAGCAATTCTGGGACAGCAACGTACATCCACCTTCACAGCCCTGTGGGGAAACACAGCACAGCTCTAATAGAGAATCTTTAATGTAATCTTTAACCATACTGATTAAACCCCATTCTTCACTCTGTATTTGATATCAGCAGCACTTTTAAAAATAGGATAAGGAACCGTAAAACATTTGCTCCTTTCATTAAATATTTCCACTTCAACAGCAAACCTCCGGTGAAAGCTAAGGAGCTTCAAAATGCCTCAGTACTTTATGGGTGGGATAAATAAATAAATATGCTTGGACATCCCATTCATTCACTTGATGAAAATTCTGCCAGAATGATAAATGTAAGGGCGCTGTACAAAAGGAAACCATCAAGATTGACTGTGATACCTCCTGTGATCAAATAGATTGCTGACATCCACGCTTTCATAGAATCATAGAATCCCTACAATGAGGTAAGAGGCCATTCAGCCCATCGAGTCCGCACCAACGGTCCGAGGAGTATCCCACCCAGACCTAGCCCCCACACTTATTCCCGTAACCCCACATTTGCCATGGCTAATCCACCTAGACTGCACATCCCTGGACACCACGGGACAATTTACCATGGCCAATCTATCTAACCTGCACATCTTTGGGCCGTGGGAGGAAGCCTAGGCAGCCACAGGAAGAATGTGCCAACTCCACAGACAGTCACCTGAGGGTGCAAGTGAACCTGGGTCCCTGGCACTGAGGCAGCAGTGCTAACCACTGAGCCACCATACCGCCCCTTTAAACTTGAAGGTTCAATGAACTCCTGGAAAGCACCTTGTACTCACAGGATTATACATCTTCTGCAGACGAGCAAACATTTTAGGGGAAGACGGAGGACAAGCTGTGGCCATCATATACGTAGCTATAAGTAAATTGGCTTGTATGAGGTATTGAACCTGATCACAAGGAAGGGGCTGTCACCATCAACCAAGATATACAGTCACTAACGTGGAAGCACTTAAACTGTTTGTATATGTTGCTAACTTTATCAAACTGCTTGGGTTCAATTCCTGCACCAGCTGAGGTCACCATGAAGGTTTCAAGATGTGTTGACCCTCAGGTTAAACCACCAACAGGCACCTCTCTCTGCTGACAGAGAAGCCCGAAGGAGCTCTGGGACTACAGCGACCTTACTACTGCTTCAAAAAAAAAAAGGACAGTTAACCAGCATTCATGCATGGCGTTTTAGGAACTAGTTAAATGTACAGGAGTGAAGTGGAGTGTTCGCATTATCGAGGTCTCAATTAATTGACATTTACTGCAGTATCAGGGAATCTATATACTGCCAGACTTGCCGAGTGCGAGTAGAACAGATAAGTTACCATTCCTGGTGGAAACCTTCATCAAACCCAATTGATCAGACTCAAGGATTCTGCTCAAAAGTTTCAACTTCTGCATTCTTTCTATAGAAGCTGTCAGACCTGCTGCACGTTTCCAGTGCTCTGCTGAATTTGTTCCAACATCTGCAGGGATACTAATTTCAAATGTATTACAATACATTGTGCTGTGGGTAGGGAATGTGTTAATTTAACAGCATGCCTTCATCTGTGCTGAGAGACTATTGCACAGCTGGCAGTGAATAAATGGAACTTTCATCAACAAAACATTAGTCCCCATTAACCAGCATTAATATCCGACATAAACATTGTGATGGGTGGTTACCAGTGAGTTGCTGGCAGAGATTTAACTTTGGACTTCATTTGAGGACGTTGCCCTCGTTGAACAGAACATCTTTGAAAGCTGACTGAACTACTGCAACACAATGGCTAGGCCTTCACCGGATATTAAAATTCATAGCAAGTTCACAGTAACCAACTAGTAAAGATAGCAGACAAAGGGGGTGGCCATGGGTACCCGCATGGGCCCAATGCCTGCCTCTTTGTAGGATACGTGGAACAATCCCTCTTCCAAAGCTATACTGGCCCTATCCCCCACCTCTTCCTCCGTTACATTGATGACTGTATCGGCGCCGCCTTGTGCTCCCACGAGGAGCTCGAACAGTTCATCCACTTCACTAACACCTTCCACCCCAACCTTAAGTTCACCTGGACCATCTCCGATACCTCTCTCCCCTTCCTGAACACCTCTGTCTCCATCTCCGGCAACCACCTAGAAACCGATATCCATTTCAAGCCGACCGACTCCCACAGCTACCGAGAATACACCTCCTCCCACCCACCTTCTGGCAAAAAGGCCATCCCCTATTCCCAATTCCTTCGCCTCCGCTGCATCTGCTCCCGAGATGAGGCATTCCACTTCCAGATGTCCCAGATATCCTCGTTTTTCAAGGACTGCAACTTCCCCTCCATAGTGGTCGAAAACGCCCTCAACCGTGTCTCTCGCATTTCACGCAACTCATCCTTCACACCCGCTCCCCACAATAATAACCAAAACAGAATCCCCCTTGTCCTCACATACCACCGCACCAACCTCCGGATCCAACGCATCATCGTCCGACACTTCCGCCATCTGCAATCCGACCCCACTACCAAAGACATTTTTGCCTCCCCACCCTTATCTGCTTTCCGGAGGGACAACTCTCTCCGTGACTTCCTTGTCCGCTCCACACTCCCCACCAGCCCCATCACCCCCGGCACTTTCCCCTGCAACCGCAGGAAGTGCTACCCCTGCCCCTACACCTCCTCCCTCACCCCCATCCCAGGCCCAAGAAGACCTTCCACATCAAACAGATGTTCACCTGCACATCTGCTAATGTGGTATACTGTATCCGCTGTTCCTGTTGTGGCCGCCTCTACATCAGGGAAACCAAGCAGAGGCTTGGGGACCGCTTTGTGGAACACCTACGCTCAGTTCACACCAAACAACTGCACCTCCCAGTCGCGAACCATTTCAACTCCCCCTCCCACTCCTTGGACGACATGTCCATCCTGCGCCTCCTGCAGTGCCAAAATGATGCCACCCGAAGATTGCAGGAACAGCATCTCATATTTCGCTTGGGAACCCTGCAGCCCAATGGTATCAATGTGGGCTTCACAAGCTTCAAAATCTCCCCTCCCCCGACCGCATCCCAAAACCAGCCCACCTTGTACCCGCCTCCCTAACCTGTCCTCCCACCTATCCCCTCCTCCCACCCCAAGCCTCACCCCCATCTCCTACCTACTAACCTCATCCCGCCCCCTTGACCTGTCTGTCCTCCCTGGACCGACCTATCCCCC